GAAAGGTACAGATGGCCTTCCACGGTTTTTATGTCCTGGGAATTGGGTCCCCTGCTCAGAGCAGAGGTAGGCCTGAATGCTGTACCCGACTCAGTCGCATCACGGCCCCTGCAACCTCTGGGACTGTGGAGAGGGCTGCAGGTGGCAATGGAAGGAAGAATGCTTAGGCTGCCCTGTGGACCTGCCCCTTGTACTCAGCCATCTGATATGGCCATGAGTAATAGCCCTACAGGTGAGTTCTGTAGAAATAGCCACAATGCAGTCTGTTAGTTACTGATGGTATTGCCTGTCTGCTGGTAGGAATGAGGGACTCACCTCTTTCTGCTATGTAGCAGGCATAGGCATTGGGCACTCACCCAGGGTACCTCACCATAGTTATGAAATAGGTTCTGTAGGTGACAGAGGCCATGCAATGAGAAGGCTTCATAGCCCTGGGCACTGTGAGTGGTAAGCCTTCTGAGATGGTCTTCACGAAGGGATAAGGATCTCCTCTGTGGGCCTCACATAGCTGGAGAAGTCCTTCAAAAAAGCACCTCAGTGGTGCTGGAAGGACCTGTGGTGCTGTCTCTTGAGCATCCTTTGCTGTTGCTATCAATCCCACATCAACACTTTGACAGCTCCTGCTGATGGAAGAGTCAGAAGTGGCCAGACCCCAAGGGAGTTGTGCCTTGGACATGAGGCCCTCAGGCACATATGTATACTACAAGATGGTCACCAGCTCCTGCCAGGGAGCACAGGAGGTGTTCTCTTGGCATTTCTCATCAGTTATCATCTCAGAGTGGAGGGTGAGATGCTCCGGGTGTGTGCATTTCCCTCCTCCAGAGCTGCTGGCTGACAGGTGTAGATCAGTCCAAACTATCGACAAAAGGGAAGCGTTCCGGGTGGGAGAACTACAACTCCCTACTGTGATGAAGAGAAGTAAAGGAAAAAATAATTGCTCAGCCCACTGCCTCTTGGCTTTTAATTCACCAGATTTCCACTCTCATTGTTGCTCTGGCGTTATTTCCTTGCATGTGCTCCATGCAAGTGTATCGAGTAGCAAGCCTGTATCCACACCCTGGACGTAGCCTTTTGTCCATAAGAGAGCTATGTCAGGAAACTGGACCATAGGCTGTGCAGAATTGCCAGCTTTCCCCTCTGCATTGTCTTCTAAAATTCCCCTGTTGTCCAGAGGCCATATTTCAGTATGACAATGATGCCCTGGCTTTGACTGGATGGCCTTTTCCATATAGTTAAAGCTTCTTTTTAATGCTGCAGGCTTGCATGTATAAAGCTGGACAAACTGTTTTTGATTAAATGGTACCTCTGAACTGCTGGGAACTTTTCCTCCTTTACTTGCCTCACAATTTCGGTACTGGTAGCCCATCACTTCTCACTTTTTTCTGTTTTATTTTGCTCACTCCATGACTTTACAAACTCTGCATAGTATGACCATCTGTTGGACCAGAATATGTGCTGGACACAGTTTTCCAAAGTGTTGGTCACTGTTCTGTGCCACCGTGCCCCGGGCAAGGTCACTAACAGGTAAATAAAATCATAGTTTAAAATATAGGAAGAATATGTCCTTGGCAGGTGAAGAAGGAGCTTTATGGGTTTGAAACTGTACCCACATAAGCCCTTATGCCTTTTTATCTTGAGAAGTGGTGGCTCAAGCTTCGGTCTTACTGGCGTAGATGTGTCCATGCCATGGAAATGGAGGCTGAAAGAGCTTGCAGGAAAATTAGAGGTGTGTCAAACAGAAAAGAGGAGGATGTTGCTTTTTTCCATTAGAATGGGACATAAGGAATGTAATAATGAGCTTTTTCTTTGTTGTACTGCTTAAGTTTAGTGATGTTTCTGCTACAGCTAATGCTTAGCATTCAGCAACCACATAGCTACAGGTTGCCAGATGCACAGTAGGATTTCCAAGTGAAGATCCACAACCTAAGATATTTCCATTCACCTGAACAGTAATACCAAGAAGCCTGAAAGAAAGGAAATTGGCAGCTCCCAACCACTTAGAACAGAGAAGAGATACAATAGAAGAACCTGCTGCTTGATAGACTGTCTGCATAATTGGCTGCTGAAATCTCTCACATGCTCTACTGAAACGAACAGCAGCCTTGATGGACAACTATCCTGGTTTCTCATGAAACGTGAAAGGTTGCACCAAAGCACCAGATCTCCTATCTGGGGGTGGCATAGTACAGCTTCTGTGTGGACAGCTGAATGCCCTGGGTAGCTCAGATGTGCCTAGGCTTGGAGTAATGGGAAGGGCACATCTAATGTCACACCTGCAATGCAAATGGGCAGTGACTCTGATCTTGGGAGCAGGCAATCAGGCTACCTGCAAATGACAGTGCGTGTCTTTGAACACAAACACTGTTTCTGTCTTTGCAGTTTAAGAGTATCAATAACAACCAGGGAGTCTCAGAGTGTCCCTGAGGCACCAGTGCAATTGCATTAATACATATCAAAAATACAAAAGACATCTAGCAAGGCTACCTTTCAGATACCTGGAATTGCAAGTATTATTCTCCTAATGAGTGAAATTCCAAACCTAACAGTGCTAACAGATATATTTAGGCATCTCATTCCTATTTAAAGACTCACCTCCCTTCATTTCAGCAAGAAGTTAGATATCTAACACCTTTGTGGACTTCTGCTTGTGTATGTTTTGTATGCAGAATGCTAGGTGGACAAGGCAGAGCTTCAGCCAGCGTGATTAGAGTCACTGTGATACTAGTGGCCAATTTTTGATTTTGATTTTGAATTTCCTTTTAAAGGGGAAAAATTTACATTGTATTTTCAGCTCCTGAAAACTTAACTTTCACTAACTTTTTTTTCAAATTTAACATGATAGATATAAATTTGCAGTTTTCTTCCTCATATTTTCTTTTTATTTATTTTGGATTAATTAAAAAAACTATGCAAATATTTAAACAGTAGGAAGGACTGACTACTTAATCTTTGGGGATTTGCATGGCTGACTATCAACAAGAATCTCCTTTTGAATGTCAGTCACTTCTGATCTGCTCACAACAACTTGTATTCAGTTGTGTGGAATGATCATAAAAACCAGTGCTGCAGTAGGGGAGGATTTCTTCTGAAAACAACTCATTTCTGGTCCAGTAAAACAGCATTATTTCTTGGTACATTAGTTTTATGGTAGTTCAGAATTAAAATTGCACTTTAAAAAAATCTGAGTGTCAATTAGTGATGCATTATGCAGTTGGAATCTTTTGCAATTCTGGCATTAAAGTATTGATGTGTCTTTGAATATTTTGAGATTGTTAAATGCACTGGATATCTGTGCAATCAGCACAGGGCAGGGCGTGGGGGACTGTGGTGGCCTTGGAGTGCTAGTGGATTAGGTACAACATTTAGCACACACAGCACCAAGGCACACTGGCCACTGTTCTGTTTTTTAACAGCAGCATCTGGGCACCACCTGTGGGTTTTTGACCGTTGCCACTTCTCACTTCCTTCTAGCACAACTTGCCATGACGTCCATCACACACAGCTCCCACCTCTGCATGAGGAAGTTCAGCGCCCCTACACCTGCCCCCATGCCTCTCCAGCCAGCCTGGTACAAATACCAGCTACTGCAGATACATGTAGCACAGACAGGCATGCACAAAGTGAGGAGCCAATGACCCCCGGTGACAGCCTCTCCCTTGGACCAACATGCATGTGACCTAGCCCTAGTACGGCTCCTTCAACCCTCACCCCCCACCCCAAATGATGTAACTGCAAATCCCAGGTATACAACTCCTGCACTGAACAGCTGAGGGTCTCCATATGTATGCACTGTGTGTTCCCCAGGCGAACGTGTTGTCCCCAGGGTGGGAGGACGTGCCACCACACAGCTGCTAGCCTCGAGTTCAAGGAACACTTACCTCCCCAGTTTCTATTCATAAACATGCAATTTACCCTTGGCCATGGACATTCTGTTTCTGTGCACACCTTACATACACCACACAGTGTAATTAGGAGCACCCTTATCACCTCCCCTCTTCTCATTCGTGTAACTCCAATGGGCAGACAAAGAAGCCGTATCCCCTGTGTAAGGGACCTTGCTGCCACCACCTGCCACAAAGCCTTGCTGCCCTCACACATCATTCAATAAATGCATCAAGGGAAATGAATAAAACACAGGTCCACAATGCGCTGGCTAGGGATAGCTATCAGCCTGTAACATCTGAAGGACAAAATACTGCCTTCCATCAGTCTTCACTTTAAAGGTCAATACAAGTTGGGTGTTTTTCATAATACTGACAAAAACAAGATTCCAGCTTTCAATTTGCATAAGTTAGATGTTTTCAGAGATATTGGTCCTGATGTTAAAAGATTTGACAAAACTCTCCTGAAGCCTTTGAGGAAATCTTCATGCTTGTGACGTTTTTCTCTAAGAACGGGTAGAGGAAAGTGAAGGACAAAGAATAGGACAAGTCCAGTTCTGACCTTTAGAAAAAGGAACCAGGAAATTAATTCAATTCTTGGAAAAACTTCTACAAATGCTGACAAAGTGTTTGCTTATTTTTTAACGACTAAGGTAATGAGTTAGTGTCAACATGGGCTTCTCCAGTAATCAAGCCAAATCAATCAGGGCAGCAAATCCAGTGGAGAAAGAAGAAAAGGCATCACGGATCCAGTGAAGCTTTTGGCATAGCTTCAAATTATATTCTTGTAAGCAAACTATGAAAGCCTAGTCTAGAAGAAAACAATACAGAGTGGATGCCAAACTAACTAAATAACCTGTTAGACAAGAATTATCCATGGGTCACTCTTGAATGCTGAAGAGCCAGGAGTCACTGTTCAGGATCCACCATTATCTGGTGGTTTTATTAATAACTTGCTTGATGGAATAGAGAATAGCTATGGTCATAGATGGTACTAACTGGCAGCTGGTACAAGAGCACTCTACAAGTGCATAGGGATTTTAGGCAGGAAGAACCAGATCTACAGATATCAGGCAACTGGATCATTAGCCTTTCTGTGAAAGAAAATCTAGGGCTTACATGGATTACAAGATGGCATCAGTCAAACACTCCCATACTGTCGTGAGAAAGGCAAATGTCATCCTGGGACACATCTACAAAGGTAAAGTAAACCACACACCACAATTGGGTCTAGGGCTATTGTGGATTGGTAAAGCTTTTAATAAAAATGACTGCGCTGGATCAGATAAAATGTCTATCTAGCCTGTCTCTGCCAATAGCCACTAGCACACACCTGGTGAAGAGAATTCAGCTGAGCAAACATGCAGTGCTATTTCTCCTCCGCTTTCTGTCTTTGTGCAATTCATAGTCCTGGATTCCTGAACCATACTGGGAGCTTTGTGTTTAGCACATTTTCGAATGTTATTTCTTCCATGAATTTGTCTGCTTGGGCTCTGGACTCGTTCTGTGCCTAAGGTTTCACAGCTGTGTGCTATGTGAAGAAATCTCTCCTTTTGTCTATTTCTGACCTGCAAGTGACAGTTTCATTAATGTCTTTTTGTTGTAAGACATTTTGGGGCCCTTGAGCATGGCCTATGTCCTGCTGATGAGAAGTATTTACTGCGTCATAACATGCTCACACTCACCCTTCTCACCTTCCTGATCTTGAGCTGAAAATATCAAGACATGAAAGATGAATATCTATTATAGCAATCTCTTCTGAAGACTGTTGATCCTTGTCATTCAATATTTTTGTCTTATTTCTGATTAATATTCCTCTGGATTTAATTTACACCAGTTGCCACTCATTCCACCTTTCTAAGTAGGATCGAGAGTCAATCCACAGAGTGGCAGAAATACTGATTTCAAATTCCCCAATAGCTTTGATAGGATGGATGTGCCTGCTTCTGAGGACTGAAGAAGACAAGACCATGTGTAGGCATCTGGCTTAGAGCTGGAGGGAGGGGAAGGGTAGATATGTGCATTTCATTTTTGCACCAAGATTCATGCAAAGGGCTTCCTTGCTGTTAAGCGATATTAAGGAACATGCATACTGTAACTAAGTTAGTAATTAACCTCCCTTTTGATGAATTAAACAGATGGGCTTCTCTAAGTATGAGTCTGGGCTCAAAGGTTTGGCAACTTAAACGCAATCTAAAGCAGAAAACTCTCCTTTTGTGAATGCAGTTACATCAGGCACAAATGCTTATACCAATAGCCTTTTCAGGGTCAGGAAGTGACTAAAAAGGCACCTTTTGACTCAAAAATAAGAGCTATTACCCTTACAACCATGTCGACAAATATCACAACTGTAACTAATTTATTGCAGTGACTTGCTAGGTGAAGAGGACTCCTTCCCAAGAATCTGGTGGAAATGACTACTGGAGCAGATGCAATGCAAACAAAAGGCATGGCTTCTACTTTTGCTGTGTTGTAAGCTGGCCCTGACCAGACAGGTGTTATTAAATTGTCAGTTTACCTATCAATTTTGGCTACGGGTCATCTTCTGAAATTTACTGAATGCAATGAGGTTTACCAAAGATCAACGTGATCAGCCTCTGCATCTCTTCAGCCATCATCCATGGATTACTCCAGAACATGTTGTCTGGGATCAATTTGCTTCTTAAAGTGTTTATAGACATTATTTTTCAAGTTTTCTTAACAAAGGACAAGAAACTTCGCCCTCATAAGGTAAAAGTACCTTCCCCCTCAAACTGTAGGTCAAACACAGAACAAAAATGCTGAATACTTTTGTATTGTCTGTATCAGAACAGAGCAATAAAGTGAAAGATAAATATCAGTGTTAATAAACGTAAAAGACTGTATACAGGGAAATCCTGACTTTACATATCAGGCTCTGAAGCAACTACTGACACTTCAGAGCAAGATTTTGGACCGTTGGTATCTAGTTCTGTGAAAACACTAGCGCCTTGCTTAGCAGCAATCAAAAACAATTTGAATGTTATGAAAAGTCAGGAGAGATAACAGGGAACATCATCATGCCTTTATACACATTGATGTCTTGTTCCACCTTGGCCACTATATGTGGTTCTGGTACCACATGCTAGAAAGGAAATAGAGGACACAGGAAGGGTTCAGAGAAAGATGACCCAAGATCTGGAAGGACCACTCAAGACTTTTCCAGTGCAAAGGAAGAGCAGGAGCTGGGGATAAAGTCAATAATATTAGGACTGGCATGGAGATTGATGTGACTCTGCTCATCCTCATGCAGTCTGGGCATGATCTGCAGGTGAGCGCCTGGCTTCAGCTCCTCACCTGGGGCAGATACTCCAACCAGAAAGAGCCTTGCCTCTTCTTTCTCCTCTCTTCCGTGGGAAATACAGCACCCAAGACTGCCCTGAGAGGATGCCCTGATTGCATGGAGGACTCATGAATTAAATGTAGCCCCAGTGACATACTCTTCCTAGCTGTCTACGGAGAAACAGGCTGGACCTTCTCCTCCTTTGTCCATAGTTTCTACTGTGTCATAGGTTCTCAGATGTCTAAGAAGGGCTGAAGCTCAGTATAGTTCAGATAAAAAGTTGACAAGGAGGTACTCAAAACCATCACAAGGCAGGATCCATTATCCCTGGCCTTAGACATATTTTGTTTTCTCAGAAATTGCTTCTATTTGCTTCTCTAATGCCACAAGGTTGTGTATGATGTTACTAGTTCATTTATTAATGTTTCTGTTTATCCTTCCAAGCCCTAATGGAATTTTCTTTGACCCCCAAGAAACTCTTGACCATGGGTAATAGTACATTTTATTTGGACTTCCACGTATCTAGTTTGTTAGAGCTTTGTTGCATGACTGATTTATTGCTTCCTTAAAATACAGATTTTATGTCCTCCACTTTTGGTGTTAGTCTTTCCTGACTCTGTCCCTCATATCAACAAGTGCTTCTTTCCTATAGTTTGGCATTGTTACTACATGATGCTCAGTTTCCATACTGAGCATCAGTGTTGGCTTTTAGATAGGAATTACCATGAAATCTGGGTTATTGCACAAGAAAAACTTCCTGATTGCTCAGTGTTTGCCTCCAGCTTCTCTTTGCACATGGGAGACTTTGCTGAAATTCATTCCTGAGGTGCAACACTGAAGAGCCACTAGGCGCCATATTTAGAACCTTTTCCCTCAGCATTGTCCTTTGAAGTCATTCTGACTGATGTTCAAAGAAATAAAGTCTTTACACTACCTTCCTGTTTATACACTGAAGTACAGCCTTTTTTCCCGCTGTTTAGATCTTGGAATTCATGTTGAACTACTTGGTCAAACTAATACCTTTTTGCTTTCCAGATATTTCAGGATGAAATACCTCCTTCAGTACTTCTGGCCTGTTCTTCTTGTTTGAACTGAGGTAACTTCTTGTCTGTCTGTATTAACACACATTTGATTGGACTGGAGACAGCTTTAGTTTGTTTCATACAACTGCCTTGTTCTTTGTCCAGTCTTTGGCATTCACAGTGAGTTAGCAGTGATTTAGCTAACCAATTTTAGTTCAGAGACAACTTTGGTTTTCCTGACAAATTTTGGCAGGTTGCCATGCTCGAATGGCATTTATCCAACTATGTCCTTTTAAAGTCAGGATGAAATTTTCAACTTTTATCCTCTACAAACATCACATCTGTCCAGTCGTGACAAATCTATGAATTTCAGTAGCAATTACCACTTACAGTTTTGTGTTGTGCTCTGACAAACAAATACGGCTTTCTTCTGCACACCTATGGCCTGCAGTTCAAGTCAGATATTCTGAACTTACAGGGCATACACACAGAAATTGGATGCAGTCCATAGACGCCCCATTCCGAACTACCATATTTGAACCTCGGTATGCCCCGCAGAAGACCTATGGGCACATGGCACATTTTCCAAACCAACAGACATGTCAAGTAAAAGGGAAAAAGAAGACAAATTCCACCATTATCTTTTGCCATAATAGCATTAAGATGACCTCTCTTACCTTGCAGAAAAGAAATGTGTACCTTTATTCCTAATGTTTTTTAATTTTTTTACATTTTTTTTTTACTTTATCTTTTTTACTCATTTGTCAGAAAGGAAGTCAACCCTTACCCAGAAGGAATGAAGCGGTGTGCACCTTTGTGCTTAATCTAGGAAAGTAAAACAACAGTTATTTCCTCTTGGCTCAGTCTTGTCCCAAGTTCTCTTTTGGTCACGCCCAGACCAGACCCCAGCTAAATTCTGTCCTGAGCTAAGTGCAGATGCTATAAAAGAGCACCTTATTTCAAATGCCCCACCTGATCTGCAGACATGGCAGGTGAGATCAGTGCTTTTTAATTTTATTTCTGTATGCTTTGATATTTCTGGTGTGGGTATTGGTGTGTTCTTTGGGTAAGCGCAAGAAGATGAGGAGATAAAATGCACCTCTAGGAGCTGGTGTTCCTTCATCCTTCCTTCTTCTCTGGGCATACATGAAATACATTAATTTTGAGAAGTGAGAAAAGAGAGTCTTTCTGTCTCATGTGGTGATACTCTCCGGTAAAAGGTTGCTAGGAATAAGCAGCCTTAAATTCCTGAAAATATGGCTCGAGAATTTCCACAGATTGCAAATAAAAGATAACCTGCCCCACTGTATGAAGTTCTTCCAAAATTTGTCAGTATTTCCTACTGTAACATGAGCCAATTAAAATATTGACTAAATAACTTTAAATATATCTAATTGTAACTTTCCAATTTAATGTCTTCTTTCAGGGAAGGCACTCTGCCTCTGCATATAGAACTATCGAGACCATATGACACACATTTCCAGTGTTAGGGTGAAAAAGATTAGTGACAAATATTAGGGAGTGTGAAGAAGGCTAATGAAGGGGATTAAAGGCTGGAGGACCCATGCTAGTCTTAGAAGCTTGTTTTGCTGACTGTATCAATAAGAAAATAAAGGGGACAAAGGGGACAGGATGACAGTGGACATACTGAGTCTAATCTCCTTTACGCTAGCCACCTGCAATGAATCCTCCTTACCATTCAGTATACCAGGATGCTGCCCTCTTCCATTGCACCTGCCTGACAGTCTTCATTACTGAAGGCTGAACTGTATTTGGCAGCCTCCTCCGTGGCAGTTATTTTATCCAATTTACTGAATGCCTCACGTCACTGGTATGGCCCATGTTCTGCCAACACTTACAGCTACGCCCTTCTTCAGCCAGGCTAAAAACATGATCAGAAGCAATCTCTATTTTCTTCCTAGATCCTGAAAGAAATATTCAAGCCAAATAGGAACAGTCACTCTTTTGATGCTTCAGTGAAATCCTGCCCATTCAGTTACAGCTAACTGAGAAGACTTATGTTGTGTTTCTCTCTAGGAATAAAACCAAGAATTACTCTCTTAGGATCTGTCATCACCTTGTGCTTACTCGGGGCATTGGACTCCTCATTAAATAGTAAGATTCTGTTTCTCCTGCTGTTGCTGCTGTGATTGAAAGGGTATAATATTGTGTGGAGGATTTGAGGCATAATGCAGTCTGAGTTCCTAATTAGATACAATTCAAATCCAAATATGCAATATCCTATAGACTTCCCCAACAAAAAAGAAGTCAATGCCTAAGAAATTTATCTATATTTGGTCTTAAAAGGACATGGTTATCATTTTATGATAATGAGACTGGGCCACAGCTGATGTATTTGGCTTCTTCTAGGCATGTCCCAAGGGAATGTCCCTTCTTTCGGAGAAGAATTGCTTCAAAAAGAAGGGCAAAAAATAATCCCTTGAAAACTTCCCATGCAACTCCCCCCAAAACTTAACCGTGCAAGTCAGATCTGTGAAATGGATAATAAACTACTACCGTATGATCATATTTGGCCCTGTAACTTTCAGTGGATTTCTGGTAGATGCATCAAACAATACAATATTAGGTCAGTGTGAAAATATATAGTGAGTCTCACCCAATGCGGGTGCACTGAACTTACCGTATCACAGGCAAAGTGGCTTCAGGGCATTGTGGACCTATGTGACTATCACCTGGAGCCATGCATTATGCAGATGTGAATGGGGAGACATAGCAATTTTGGTGTTTACCCATGCACTTGTGGGAAGGGGTCACAGTTTCAGTAAATAGATGTATCTAGGATCAGGATGTTCCCACAGGGCTGGCAAATTGATTTCACTGTCATATCACCTTATTATGTTTACTTGTCATCTCCTACATTGTAAATGATTGTCACACAATCCACTGCCCAATTAGAAACCAGAAGCTCTATATTCTGCAGATTTATAACATTGTATTTTCTTATGTATTTTAAAAATGAAGTTTCCACTATTTTTGCACCTGAGAAGCGTCGTGCTTCTCAGTGGGATTTACTTGTACAACAAGCTTCCCTTTTCCGCAAAAGTTTTCTACAGAAATTTCTTTGAAAGCTTCAGTAGAAGTGTGCAGCTCATTTCTGAGAACAAAGTTAATGGGGAGAAGGATGGTTCTTTTGCCACCTTCAAGTCTTTTTTTCCATGTCTCAATTACGTCTGACTCTTCAAAGAAAATGCTAGCATTGGCAAGATTATTTTTTTCTATGCTTTTCATAGGAAGAGGTGAATTGTTTTGTCTGACTGTTAATATTCAACTTGCATGCACATTTTGACCCAAGAACTTAAAATTTAGTAACTTTAAAAACAAATGAAAATGGATAATTCTAAGTGGAAATTTGACACAACTAACTTTACTAGCTTCAGAACGGAGACAATAAAAAAGACATTGTGCAGGTGGCACCTGACATAAAAAGAGACTAAGTTCAAGGAATATCCTTGGTTCCAAATGAACCTCCTCTACTCTGCAGCATGCTCCAGAATAAAGGTAACAACTACAAGTTTTCACTTGAAGTAGGTGGGGCAGGACAGTGCCTGGAAGGGAAGCTAGAGAAAATCAAATTAGAAAGAAAGCAGCAATTTTCACTTGAGATACCCTTTCAAACAGTTCAGGCAGAGAGGCATGCACATGCCATGGTTGTACACTGTGCTCATGTGCAAGGGTTAATTTTCTCAAAGATAGGCTTTCGTGTAATGTATAGCCTTAAAGTGGAAGCAATGGGGTGGGATGTGTATTTATGCTGAAGGCCTGGTCATCACACAGTGAACCAACAGGAGGATGACCAGCAGTTTTGTCTGCTTTGGGAGAACTATAGGGCAGGATGTAGTTCGAATCTAGAGCTTTATTCTGGCAGCAAAAGCTCAATGACCCTCAAAGTCATGCTTGTGGGTTCAGATCATCCCAGACTGGCAATCAAGCCAGGGGCCGTGGTGGGACAAGCTGAGGCAAGAACCTTCGATTCAGCTGCAGGCAGAAGACTGAGCAAGCGAGGGAAACAGCACCTTGTGGGGGAACCCAGTGACCTATGCCTAAGGGCCTCAGGAGGACCATGCAGGATATATTGCAATCCTGAAAGCCAATGAGTGGCTGAATAGAAAGCTAGATCGCACTAAGACACCTGAACATGTGCGAAAAGGGGATGTTACAAAAGCATTTGTCCTCTTCCCAGGCAGATCTGTGTTTTCTCTATAGTAAATTTTGTTGTAATAAGACCTAGCTCTAGAGTTCACAAACCCTGTTGTTATATTCACTTAAAAAACCTATTGCCAAAGTTGCCCAAAAACTCTGACAGACTTGTAGTCTCATTGTGAGCTCTTAGAACTCATTCCTGGGGAGAACAGCCTTTCCTCTAAGCTGTCAGAGCTCAATGTTAGGGCTATATCATGCATGATCAGGCCTTATTAGTTTAGTTTCACCCATGTGAAACAACTGCTCGTTATTTTAAAAATCACAGCTGTAGCAAAATTTGCCTGTCCTTTTGCACAAAGGCATCTATCAGGGAAACAATCACATGAACATTACGGGGACCTGCGAGATAATGCTTGTCTTCTTTTCTCACTCTTTTATCCGTTTTCCTCTAGCTAGTTTTCAGCTGTTCTTTTAAGAGCCAGGGCTTATCCAATCACTCGCTGAGCGTATCCCTGTAGCATCTTGTACCCATTGAATTCCCATTAACTTTGTGATCCTGTTGGCCAATTTTTTTTGTGTGTTTTGCAGCTCTCAGGGGTAATTTCAGTTTCGCAAGTTCTCTTGTGTCATATGTTTGCTGAGTTCTTTGTTGTATCTCCTGCTACTGCTGCTGGAGCTCCTTCCCCCTGTCCCCTTCTCCCACTCTCCATTGCCATTCCTTGCGTTACACATTGCTGATTTAATGATAACTGAAGGATATATTTTGCTGCTCCTGCCATGCTAACCTGTCAGCTGCCATCCCAGTAACCTATTTCTGCCTCCCTGTGGTGCCTCTGTCAGTAGGTTGGTGCAGTGGGAGTAAGAGCCGGCTGAGAAGAACCTAGCATGGACAAAGCAGAGTCATTGACTATTGTGAGCTTCAGCACATCTAGCATGAGGTTCATCTTGCCTCCCTTGGGCATCTGCAATGTAGATGCCCTGCTCAACTTAGCCTCCCAGTGAAGAGGGGGAGATGCCTGGTGCTATGATTCCTCTGAGCTATACCTCAGCATAGCAAGGTGGTGCTTGGAGTGCCCAGAAAGCCCAAGGACTAGTAGAGCTACCTGCTTGTAAAGTTAAGTCAGGAAAGTTTCCTGTGGTCTCCAGCTACGGCTTCATACTATACATTTTTGCCTCATCAGGGATCATTTAATGGGATTGCCTCTAACCTGCTTTGCTCAGTGAAGCAGCCACATGCAAGCTTGAAATGGGAAGATAACAAGCTCCAGCAAAGGCACACATAAGCTCAGACATCCCTACATATTAATTTCTCTCCTAAAAGAGGTTTACAAGGATGGATACAAAGATCCTGGTACATGAGCATTATGCAGAAGAAGCAAGGGGAGAAGGACAACTAGGCAGAATTAGCCCTGTGGAAAAGGTGTAAGTCATCAAGATAATGAATCTGAATAGTACCCAGATACACAGCTAAGTTTAATCTTGGTTTTAAGTGCTCCAAAATTTGTCCAAGATATTCAAAGCATGATGTATCAAGAAACATGCTCCTTTAGCTTTCGATGTGCATCACAAAGTGTCCTGATGTTCTGCTCTTTTCTTTTTTGAGTAGGTTATTCAGAGGTGCTATCAGACTCCTCTCTTTTAAGCAGCATTAGTGAAGCCAGGCAGCTGGTAGATGCAGCATACTTACTTGCCCGAGAAAGGTGAGTCCATTTTGCATGAGGGGCTTAACATTACAAGGAAATAAGATAAAATATATTTCTTCTGGTTCTCAATGCGTTTTCATTACGGAGCCACCTTTGATCGGGGGCTCCCCTTGAGGTAGTTGGACAGATCCTTCTGCTCACCCTTCCTGACCTCTAATGTCCTGCCTTAGCCTCAAGACCACCCTTTATCACCCTGCAGCTATCACCCCTCACTTACATGCACCTCTTAGTAGTCCGTAGTCATATGAGTATGCCGAATACATGTTAAATCCTCTCCTGGCTGCTGAAGTTCTGCCTCTCTCCAGAAGGAGCACAGTCATGAGAGAGCTATGCAGATGAATACTCCGTCCAAACAAGCCTTGGTGGAACTCATAAACTAGGTATCCCTCTGTTTATTGCCCCAAAAGGTTGGAGCTAGGCAGCAGGCTGTTTTGGGGAGGAGTGTCTCTCCACCCACACTATGGAAGTTGTTTCATTGTGCAATAAAGATCCACGGGGCCAGAAAGCGAGGCAACACGACCAAGACTGTATCTCTGTTCATGGAATGTATCTTGTGACATACTAAATGTAACAATTTATCCAGTCACTGAATAAGTCAGTCCTTCACGTATTGTCCCAGCTTTGCACATAATTTACCAAGATTTACTGTGATGAGAAGATAATGCAAACTTAAAATAAGGGATCACAATGATTTGTTTGCCAAAATTCAGCTAAAAATTGGAAATGTGTAAACTTGATGAGCAGCCAGCTTGTAGGCGAGTAGAGCCTGCCTAGGCCTCTGACAGTGATATTGTGTCTGCGTACATGAACATGACCCAGCCTAGCACAGCAGAATACGTCTGATTTTGGAGATGGTAGTTAATCGGACTCTTTCGTGTTTAGCTCAAAGAGAAAATTAGAGGAAAAGGATGCCACACCAGCAGATTTCCTGAAGCACTTAAAAGAGCCAGTAGGAAGAACCAGATCTGCGGTCCGCGCTGCTGACTATTTGGAAACTACTTTGGAACTGCTGAAAAGGAAGCTCCAGCTGTGTGGGAAAGGAGGATTCAATGTTACAGGTAGTGTGCTTTAGACCAAAATATCTTGCATACAGCTAACAGCGGAAAAGCTATCACAGAAGGAAAGTCAGAGAGCAGCTCTGCTATGATTCAAATAAACGGTAATAAAATCCTTCACAACAAAGGCCCCAGATGATTCCACTTGACTTTAAGGCCCCAGGTGACTAAACTCTGCAAGTGGTGGAAAGATAAAGCATATACAGAGGCAGACCCAAGCTACCTCCTGTTTTAATCATCATCTTTGGCAGTGCCTTTCTGATACCTTTGACTATAAAAACAGTGAGAAGGCTAAAAACAGGGGCACTAACAATAAGTGAGCTAAATCTGGGGCACAATGCATTGAGTGCTGGGAGACTCTGGCCCCTGGGAATAGAAGCCCACCTTTGACTTCTGGCCCTCAGACCCAACTGTCCAGGCTGTATCACTCTGAATGGTCCAGTGTAGTGTAAAATATTGCTGGTGATAGTGCTCCCCATTATTCTCCTGGAAGGTTGTTTCATGCCACACCAGCTTCACACCTAACATGACTCCAGATGCTCCAGTTCTGCTAGTGCTAATGAACAGAAGAGATTCACAGATTAGAGATTTCTCATCTATTTTGCCTGAATGTTCCTGAGATATCAACAAAATGGGCTCTCCAGGCCATTCCTGTGGTGCTGACAGCACACCTTGTCTTCTTCCTGATAGATCAGTTGTTAGAGTAGTTAAAACAATGGACTCATGACCTCCACGATTAGAACTAAATTCTATCACTTCTCAGGAGTGTGTATCAGCCACCAGAACACACTGGGCTCAACACTTGTCTACTGGAGCACAGCCTGGAATGCAGATTTTCCATATAATAGGCAACAGCAGCGTCCCCTTCTACCAAGCTAACATTGATAATTTGCCAGTGCAAAGCAGTTCCTCTGCAAGGCTTCATTAAAGCTGAGCCCTGTGGCATTGTCCCTCACTCCTAAAACTCAGTGTCTAACTACTCTTTGTTTCTCAAATCTCCACATCACCATCTTTTCTCGGGGACGATTTATCTCAGCTGAAGTTAGCTACATGAGGGCTAGGTTTTAGGTTGAACAGAATTTCAATGGAGAGAAAAAGGCACTTGTTGGAGATCTCTCATCCCATATTCCTTAGGATCTGCCTGAGGAGGGGATGAACCACCCGTCGGACTCTCCATAGATTGTGATTGACAAGGGTAGACTTAGGTATTGCAACAGAGTAACTCTGGCTGAGCTAATGGTTTATGGCGTGTAGAAGGACACAGAGACACAAGCTATTCTGGGGAAACCAGTTACTGAATATCAACTGGTGCAGAACGACTTTCTGTGTATATGCTCTTAAATCAATACATGTGGGGTAACAAATATCTGTAACAAAAAGGGACAAGTGGAGACCTGGTTACCCTAAGGTAGATGCCTACATTTGGTCAGATGAATCATGACCTGAACTCTGCCAGTGTAAAAAGCCCTGGGTATTCTCACAGAAGCTGTCAGCTCTAGACACCCAGAGTTAATGCATGAACCATCTCCACTTATGCACCATTATCAGAGAAAAGGCACTGAGCTGTCATTATACATTTTAAATCTCTCCAAAACTAGTATTATCTTACAGGATTTTGTGACTGACTCATTCAGCATAAACCTGCTATGTTTTCCATGCCAAAGTTCTCATGTTACTGAGAGATGGAAAAGAGAAACACTGGTTTGTTTTTTTATTTTTTTGCAGACCTACTAGACATGCAACAGAAGGAAATGATTTCCAAAGAAACCGGCTGTGACTACCAGATTCGTTCCATCAAATGCAAAGAGGATAGCATTTATCGGACCTTTACTGGAGAGTGTAACAACAGGTAGGATTTGTCTGCGGACAAAGAGAGTCTCCAATCTGTGTATTGACTCAGGATAGATGCCTTTGGGTCATCTGCATAAGTTTCTTTCAATGCGGCAACAAGAGGGAATTGCTCACTTCAGTGATGCCCATACAGTTGCTTCATTTCTGCCTATGCCTGGCATGAAAAAGATGTCTTTTCTATGAAACTTTCAAATCTGAGCCCACTGGCCCACTGCTCTCTATGTGCTGCTTAGGCTGAAGTGTGATTCTGTGATCTGAAAAAAAGAGTTCTTCGGTGTTTTGGGCATACCGTCACTCTTGGTTTGAACCTGGGAATACATATTTATTTGCTTATTTGCATTTAGCTTTTTTTTTTTTGACCATAAGATGGCAAAATTTCTAGCCTGATACCTGGAAATCAAGGCTTGCTCTCCTATTCTTCCACAGATTTGTTGCCTTGTGTGGCATTCTCGACCTCAAGTATGAGCAGGGTTGTATGTGAGGTATAATTGGTATGATGCACATGCGCAGCACAACTCTACATCACAGACATAGGAAGCTCTCATTCACTTTGCATGTGTTTTAGTTAGTCTGTACTTTTGCCCACAGTCCCCAGGACCTTCAGTACCCACAAGGGCAGCAATGTCCATGCTGATATTTAGGCTCAGGTTAGGGCTATTCTCAGCCTTCCTAATTCAGCTAGCTTCCAGAGACAACCTGGCACTCAGAAGGGAAGCAATTCCGTGAAACTTAAACATTTATACAAGGATTTCACTCAGCTTGAGAGGCACACCAAGAGTTAGTGCCTAAATATTTTGTAAAAATCTGGCCGTAAGGACAGTCATAGCAATTAAAACAAGAATCATGGTGTTACTCTGCTCTTAACGTTCAATTGAATTGCTTCAACTAGTGTGCTAATTGTTCTAGGGCATGCTTTTATTTCACAGCACACTGTTATAAATTCTGAGCATGGCCTCCCTTTCTTTTAATACAGGCAGGTATTATCTAGCATTTATTGATTTAAAAGCATACAGGTATAAAATTGATATGCACCAGCTGATATTCAGTAACTGTTTTCCCCCCACATAAGTTATTTATCTGCATCCCTCTATATGCCATAGATCATTAGCTCCACCAGCATTACTGTTTTCTGAACAAGTGCTGCTGTGTTAACTGATGGCATCTTTTAGAGTAGTGTAGAAATATATAATAACCTATTGTCTTTCAAACTTGCTTAGTTTACTGAAGTTTACCTTGAGTTTGTTGATGGAGTGATTTCAGAGGATGTTTGGGGAAAATTTCTTACGTTTCATAGTCACCTACCGGGAATCTGCTCTTAGTGCTTTTGCCTCAAGTCTCCAAACCAAGACTAATACTCCTATTACCCAAAGTCGTCTGAAGAAACTTGCCTTCAAAATTGGTAGGCACACAGATGTGTTCATGGGTGCACTCACATTGCAAATGAGCAAATAATGTACTGGGCTACATTAGAATGAACATGACCAACAGTTTGAGGGTCCAATTTTGGATCCCCCACGTTCAAGAGGGATATGGAAAAAGTGGAAAGTGGTCTCAGAAGAGGACTTCCAAGATGCTCTGAGGCCTGGAGCATACGATGTTAAAGGAGGTGTGGAGGGAGCTGGGCTTGTTTAGTTTGACAATGAGGATGCTAAAGGGAGATCTAGTAGCTGCCTTATCTGTTTGAAGGGTATTTACAAAATGATGGAGTCAAAGTCTTTTCAGTAGCAAGAGACTATATACTAAGGGGAAGCAGCCAAAGATTGCAGCTTAAGAGGTTCATGTTGGACATGAGGGAAAATTTCCTAAAGGGGCAGCCTTGTGACAGGTCCCCATGGAGGTGGGTGATCTCTTTCCTTGGGTTTTCCAGACTGCAGCTGAAAAAAGCCATGGCCACCCTGATCACTGGTGATGATCTTGTGGCAAGGCTGGAAAACAGACCCCAGATGTCTCTTCCAACCAGCACTTTGTGAGTCTGTTTAGGGTAGCACTGGAAACAGATAAGATACAAAGATTTAAAATCTAAATAAAATTAGTATAGTCACATGAGGAATATTTTTTAGCCTCAGAAGAGTTGATTTTTATCTACAGTAATAATAATCTTGGTATTACTTTCTCAGTTTTTTCTGGACAAAATGCAGGCATCATCTCTGTTACATAGGAATCAGACATGGTTTAAAGGATTGCAAAACCTCTGCATTTACAAACTTGCTCATTTGTGAAATAATACAGGTGTTTGTCTTTCTTTTTTCAATGTTCCAGAAAGCATTCTCATTTTGGGGCCTCCAACCATGCATTTGCTCACTGGCTCCCTGCAGAATATGAAGATGGAGTGTCTGTTCCCAGAGGAGTAAGTGAAGGAAAGCTTTACAATGGATTTCCGCTCCCTCTGGTAAGAATAATATTTTTTACTCAAATAATAATAGTGAAAACTGCCCTCATTGCATCCATTAGAAATGAAGCAACGGTAGCATCTAGAGTGCAAATTGGCTGATCCTTTTCTCTGATCTCCATTGCTAACATGGAGCTTGTTTTCTGCACTTCGTCTCTGGCTTTGGATGATGTGTTTATTGGATACAGAGCTGCACAAAAATGTGGCAAGTACTTCACTAAGCAAAATAACAGCAATATCATAATGTCTTTTAAAGTGTAACTCCCCAGATTTTATTCAGACCACACCATAGTGTGCTCAGACCCAGCCGTCTTCTTGACTTTCTGGACGTGTACACACATGTGAGTTTCAGGCAAAAAAAAAAAAGGCCTCCCCTGGAACTTGGCTTAGCTGAGTAATTGCCAGGTGTGGAGTCAAGATGGAGCTGCCAAAGGGTTGGAGGCTATGTATCACATCAGTTTTGACAGAGCAGGGGCACAGCATAGGTCTGTTTAATGCCATAGGTGACTCTTATGAGCCTGTCTAGGTTTGTCTTATCCATGGTTTCACAGCTCTTCTATTGAGACATAAATTTATCCTAGCAGAGATAGTCAAGCACATTTTCATTTTGGTTTTCCACAGGTTCGAAAAGTGTCAAATGAGATTGCTCGAACAGCCAACAATAATACTACTCCTGATCAAGAGCTTTCACTTGTCTTCATGCACTGGGGCCAGTGGGTCATCCATGATACAAATTTAGCCCCTTTCAGTAGTGCAGGAATGAACCAGGAGCTTCTCTGTGAGACTGAGTGTGCCTTCAAGCCCCCTTGCTTCCCAATTAAGGTATCACAACTTTCATTCCACTCCACACTACATTAAAACATCTAATAATATCTTAAAACACTTTCAAACTCACTAAAAAATAACAGCTTATCACTTTCTGTCTGGCACTGCTTATGTTTGTTTGCTTTAGTTCCCCCCTGATGACCCACGGATGCAGGGAACAAATTCTTGTATGCCATTCATCCAGTCAGCTTCAGCGTGCAATCCCAAGACATTTATTCGAGAGCAGATCAATGCAGTGAGCTCATTCCTTGATGCCAGCATGGTGTATGGCAGTGAACAGTCTGTGGCAAAGAGCATTCGAAATCAGACAAACCAGCTGGGTTTGATGGCTGTGAACCAGAATTTTACTGATGCAGGGTTGGAGTTATTGCCCTTTGAGAATAAAACAAAAAGTGTTTGTGTGTTCACAAACAAGAGCATGAACATCCCCTGTTTTAAAGCAGGTAAGGCACATCTGTGGTGTGGTTTTCTGATGTGAACAACAAAAATCTTTCTATGGCCTATAAAATCAAAAAATATCATTATGATCAAGTGACTGATAACTCATTATATTTGTATGAGGCATTGGAGGACATTGTGTAAGGTGAGAGAGAGAGAAAATTAAAATAGAACAAGAATTGAACAATAATTGTTTGATTTAATATAAAAATAATTTTTAAAATAATAATAATAAAAATTTAATAATAATTTTCCAAGAAGGTTATAGGAACTCATCCACCCTTTAAAAGTTCTTTTCAAAGGTAGAAGAAATTTTCCATAGAAAAACCACCACTGTTTAAAGCTTCTAATTGATTTTCCCACCTATCTAGAATTCATCATTCCTTTTTCAATTCAACTAATACTAACAGTTAATACCTCCTTATCAATGCAGTTAATGTTTGTCCCTAGTATCACATTCTAGATTTTTAGTAGTTGAAAATATTCAAACTACTTCAGAAAATAAGCCTAGAAATTTCAGTTCGAAATTTAAACAACAAATTTACAATTCAGAACAGAAGAGTTTTTTAAAAATGGGAAGTGCTCCAGCATAAGCAAAGCATTGCAAAAGTTATTAGAAATATGAAGCTTGCAAAGTAAATCATTAGAATATAGCATGTATATCCCATTGCACATTATTGTCTTACTCCATGCATGTGAGAAAAACTCCTTCCTGAATGAGTAGATACTCAATGTTTCTTCCATCCTCCTGTGTCAGAGAGACTTCACTGCATGCCATCCATCTTTCTCTCCAGCATCTGTACTAAAAGTATATTCACAGATCTCTCAAAGGCATTTATAACTTGGGTGAACTGAGACAAATTTTCAAAACCAAACCTTTACACTGCTGATACAAAGGAATATTGTTAAAAGCCTTGACATGCATAAGGCAGGCATTAGATTTTCACAAAATGAGAAACTTGCAGCTGACTCATGAAAATGTGCAAGACAGTTTAAATGGGCAAAAGCCTCTTCTCCAAAGCAGCTAAATGGTTTGGAGCGGGAGAACGGCCTGTCTGTGCTGGAAACAAATATCTGGAATTAATGGTTTTGTACAGAGTGTTAAACTAGACCTTGTGATGACCACTAGGCAGCTTAGCCACAAACCTTATTACCAGGCATGCTATCAAGTTGTTACTTGTCTGTTCTAACATAAATATCTGCTATTGAAATACAAAACAGTTTACAAAATTCCTAAGATATTTTCATTTGTAGGTGATATACGGGTAGCTGAAAACCTGGGACTTTCTGCTTTGAACACTGTCTTTCTAAGAGAACACAATCGCCTGGTTACAGAGCTGAAGAAATTAAATCCTCACTGGGATGGAGAAAAGCTTTACCAGGAGACTCGAAAGATCATAGGTGCCATGACCCAGGTAACGGTCCCTGATCATTGTTTGTCATCTGTATGCTTAGCACTATTTTTCCTCTCAGAAAAGGAGGAAAATTGTGCTTTGTAGAACTGTTAGAGTTCTTTTAAGGAGTCAACATCTTCTGAATAAGGACGGTCCAATAGAGATCGCACACTTGCCAAGGGCTTTTGTGAACTCTTTGTGTATTTTGTTCAGCACATATCAGGATGTTCCAGCTCAGCAGTTGTTCTTGTCACCTGCTGTAGTAACTTTCAGGAAACCTTCCTCCTCTTTCTCAGATGCAAATGTCTGCCTTTTAGCATTTTTTATTAACTATTTTACCCTCCACATTTGTGTTCTGCAATTTGACTTTTTATGCCATTTCTGCTATAACTACTGATGACTAGCTTTGCTTTTATGCTCTTTCAGATAATAACATACAGAGACTATCTTCCACTTCTGCTTGCAGAGGAGACTAGCAGGTGGATTCCCCTGTACAGTGGCTACAATGACACTGTGGATCCTACAGTGGCAAATGTTTTTTCCTTGGCTTTCCGGTTTGGTCATACTACAGTACAACCTTTTGTATCCCGTTTAGATGACAGTTTTCAGCCTTTAGGTTCACTCTCTCATGTTCCTCTTCATCTGACTTTTTGCGCTTCCTGGAGAATTATAATGGAAGGTAAGAACATTGCCTGCACACCAATGCACACAGCATGGGGAAAAAGCAGGAAGAATTAGAGATCTGTGTGCGGTCGCAGGACCATGATCTCATTGCAGAGACATGGTGGGATAGTTCACATGACTGGAATGCTGTCGTGGATGGCTATGTGCTTTTTAGGAAAGACAGGCCAGGAAGGCGAGGTGGTGGAGTGGCCCTTTATGTGAGGGAGTAACTAGACTGTATGGAGCTCTGCCTCGGGGTGGATGAAGAGCAAGTCGAGAGCCTGTGGGTAAGGATTAAAGGGTGGGCTAACATGGGTGACACTGTTGTGGGGGTTTACTACAGGCCACCTGATCAGGAAGAAGTAGTTGATGAGGCCTTCTACCGACAGCTGGAAGTAGCCTCACGATCACAGGCCCTGCTTCTCATGGGGGACTTCAACCCCCCGACGTCTGCTGGGAAGAGAGCACAGCTAGACACAAACAGTCCAGGAGGTTCCTGGAGAGCATTGGTGATAACTTTTGACCCAGGTGGTGGAGAAGCCAACGAGGAGAGGTGCGCTGCTAGACCTTGTACTAACAAACAAAGAAGGACTGGTTGGAGATGGGAAGGTTGGGGGCGGCCTTGGCTGCAGTGACCATGAGATGGTGGAGGTCAGGATCGTGCGAGGAGG